ATAACAAAACTAATTTATGACAAAGAGGATACAACACAATTTTTGTTGTTTATCCCACTAACTTCTCACTTTTCCTAAACAAGTTAAAGAAAAAAAATTATATACTTACTCTTTTTTTTTTTTTTAACGAAAATATACTTACTGTTATACGTATTACAAGTATTACACATATAACACATAAAAATAAACATAAAATAAATTTGAAAGTTAAAATCCTATATTTTAGAGCAACTTTTATTTTATTTATTTATTTTACGCATATGTACATTAGATGAAGAACCCTCCTCCTCACGAATTCCCATGCCCCGTTTAACTGGGAAGATTTTGGGGATGTGGATGAGTGACAAAGTGAGTAGTCACTCATATTAAGTGAGTGACAAACACCTAATAGGGCTGGTGACTAATAGTAATATAATTAGTAAATGTGTGACAAATTGAGGGAGATAGGGTAGACGATACAGCCACATTCTTCACGGAATGGAATAAAGGCCGAAACGTCCTCTTGTGGGGAGATGGTACACAACAATAAGTGTGAGGGAACATCACATAAGCTTTCAAGAAATGATTAGGAAAAAAGTAATTTGGACATCACATAAGCTTTCAAGACATGGGTAACATAAAGTAATTTCAAGCCAGATTTTCTGTTTTGATTATTTTTTTTTTTTCACTTACCTTCCCTGAATTGCCCAATTCACAATTTTAAAAAGTTAAATTAGCAAAATGACCATTTTATTTTTTTCAGAACTGAGAAACCAAGTAATTAGTCCTTTAATTTATCTACCGTCTTTAGAAATTAAACATTTTCTTAAGACATCACTTTTAACTTTCAATTGTTACTTATTCCAAATTTGGTCATTAATAAACAAATCAAATAAAATTTTTTTCCCATCCAATAGTTTTGAAGAACACTCATCCGTTTTGGAGTTCTTGATTTTACCAACCCAGGAATTAATGTAAACAAGTAAAAAAACCCTACCATACCATTAATAGGAAGGTTTGTTTTCTTAAAAAAAAAATAGAGAAAATGTGACTTACATTTCTTAGACTCAATCTTATGCTTAATTCAATAAGAAACAATTGATAATACTAAGTATCCTAAATAGTTTACCAAATTTTTAATGCTAATACATTTGGCAATTGAGTTGTTACTATTCAATTAGTGAATGATATTAAATTCATTTGTGATAAGTTTTATTATACCAATTGAATGGTGACAACTTACCTGCCACAAGTGTTGGTACAAAAATTTTTGTAAACTAGTTAGGATACCTATTATTATCCATATATAAAACTGAAGATGATGCTTTGTTTTTAAATAGATGCACACACACACTCTTTATCTAATATGTTAGACCACCTCCAATGCAAAATGCTAAAAAGTGATTTGCTAATGTTATATTGAAATGATTAGCTATATTTAGCATACATTTTTTAAGATTTGCTCCAATGGATACATGCTAAAAAATATGCTATTTTGTATTTGAACACTATTTTTATTTACAATTCTTCTTTTTCTTACTATTAATTCATATTATTATAAAAATCTAATTATTAATGATAAAAGCTCCACTTACTTTGTCTACCAATACAATAACTCATATTCTTTATCTTTTAGTTTATTTTATTTTTAATAAATGAACATTCATTTTCTATTTAAATGAGCAAAATAGTCAACACAATCATTTAAAAAAAAATTAGTAACTTGTTGAGTGAGATTTTAAAAGGGAAAGAAAGTTATGCAAATCATAGCATCAAAGATACGATCCCAAAATCTAGTTAAGGTTTCCGAGTCACCGATTATTGGATCATGAGTATTACTCAACCATGCCTTGCAAATTAATACATCTTGATCAAGTATGAATAATTTTCTACGCTTCCCTCCAACTTATGATTCTTCCATTTTTTTTTTTTTGGTTTGTAAGAATGTGAGTAGAAAAAGAAGTGATGGAACTCTAATTCATAGAATTTAGGGAGAGTAATATTATGAATAAAATTTAATGGAAACAAATAAATAAGAAAATGGTACACATGTATTAAGTTGGCCACATTATAAAGTTTATACATATTTTCAATTTTAATACAATAGTAATATTGTAAAAATTCACACACGCTCAGATTAAATTGGGCACATTGTAGATAATGACCATATTACAAAATTCAATAAATGCTATATTGATAATGTTGTAAAATCTAACATATACTAATGATAAAATTGTAAACTTAAACACATGTTGATAATGATAATATTGTAACTTTTAGCATATGCTAAAATTTTAGCATGTGTTATAACTTATGTTATATATAATACAAGAAATAGAAGGTGTTAAAAGTATGTTATTTGACATATCATTGCAGACTTGTTTTTTGATGAAATGCTAAAATTTAGTATTAGCATGAGTTTTAGCACTCTGATTGGAGATGCTCGTACAGGGTATAACACGGAGAACTAAAAGTAAGTTCAAAGAGATTTCTGATTTCTGGAAAATTAAAGGACTAAAGGCTTGTGAAATGTCAAATATGATCAAGGCTGTGATCAATTGGTTCAAGGGTAAAGAAACAGAAAATGAGGAAAATCAGCTTCTCAGGGAGACTTCTCATGGAGGTACCTTGGCTTCTTCTTAAACTCTACTTTTCTTACTCTTATATTCTTTTTATCTTCTTACTCCTTTGTATTCAGTTTCCTCATATTATGCTTTTTCTTTCTCAAAATGCATTTGTTATCACTATTTTCTTTTTAATACTCAAGATTTAGTGATTTCGTTAAGCAAGAACTAGCAAATCTAGATTAGATGAACGACCATATGATGCAATTTTTTTACTTATTAATAGACCATTAGATGTAAAGTAGAGTTTTAATTTTATTTATATTGAAGTTATCATATATGCACAACACTTTCAAAATATTAAAATCGATAAGTGATGAGTATATAATTTGAATATTATCAATATTTATTAAAATTTTGTTACAAAATGTGTACTTTTCTATTTTCATTCTTAAGTTTTTAATTCCCTAGAGAAAGTATTTTTTTATCCATTTAAAAATTGGCTGTAATTGTCATTACTGTTTATGAGGCTCCAATCCTTATTTGGGTTGTTCTAGGGGTGTCAATTCGTGTCGACGGGTCGGGTTCGTGTCGGGTTGAAGTCTAATATATACATAAATTATGTCAACCCGAACCCGACCCGTGACCCGTCGTGTCAGAAAACCATCAACACTAACCCGACCCGCACAACCCGCTTTGGTAAATAACATCCAACCCACAACCCGATTTTGACCCGTCAACCCGTTTTTGACCTGCCAACCCGCTATGACCCGTATTTTTTTACTTATATTTTCTTTTTCTAAGGCTATTATTGTCTCATTTTAAAATAAATAAATTTGAGGTAATTTATAAATATAATTAATAACTTATAATCCCAAACACTTACATTGTACAAATTAAATATATCTATAATAATAGTTATAAACAAATTAAATAAAAAATATTTTTATAATTTAATTATATATATATTTGTTGGCGGGTCAAGCGGGTTGACCCGAACCCGACCCGCACACTTTTTCTTCAACCCTAACCCGCAAAAAATCGTGTCGTGTCGTCATGTCGTAACCCGAATTGCCACCCCTAGGTTGTTCTTATTATTTGTAGTATTGTTACTATTTTCTTTGTTTTTGTTACAGGAATCTGTGACTATGGTACTAGAAGTCTTCCCGTGCATATCCGATAGTATTAATTCTTCCCTAAAATTTTTATGGAAAGTGGAAGGTATAGTTTCTTTGGGGCTAATTCCATCACTCAAAATCAGTGATTTTTTTTTTCTCAAAATAAAAAATCAGGGAGTGATCCCAATTTTTATTTATTCTTTTCTCTGGAGTTGAAAGTGCGGTTAAAGTTATACGTCTAAGAGATATCTGGAGAATGATAATATATGAGGAAGTGAAAGAAACATTGCACTTTAAACATCAACAGGATCGTGTTTATTATGAAACAAGGAGGAGTGTGGTTACGTTTAACACTACTTAAAAAAGGCAAGGGAATATTTGACTTTAGACATCTACAGGATCCTATTTATTACAAAACTGGAAGGAATATCGTGACGTTTAAGACTACCTAAATAAGGCAGTTAGGGTTACCCTTCATGGAAGAATGAAGGAGGCTGATTAATTGATAAACCTTCATTGTTATGCTGAGGAATTTTTTTTTTTTTTTCTCTATATATGTATATTATCTGTCATAGATGTGTCATATATAAATGCTTCACAGCACTTATATGTCTTATTAAGAAATCCTAGCTATATATTACTATATTTTACCTTCGAGAAATTCTTCTGAACCATATCTTGAAAATCTTAATCAAAATCAGTGTGTAACAAAATTGTGTTGAAAGTGTATATGCACTGTGAAGATTGCAATGATAAAAAGTCTCAAAATGCTTGAGAGGCTTTGATGGTAATATCTCTTCTATCGATCAACTCTTTAATTCAATGTGGATACCATAACGTTGTCATCATATAAAGTTTTTGGATGAAAATATTCTATGGTTTTTACGTGATTAGGGATTGAAGATGTTGCGGTTGATAGCGAGAACCAAGTGATTGTTTGTTTCCTTCTTACCGTGGGCTTGGAAACGAATATTACAGGAATCGTTATTATATTACTTTTCTTTAGTATATAATATAAATGGTACATACACATCTATTGACACATACGGATATGAAGATATTGATGCATGAGCTTTGCAGAAGTCTTCTGTGCTCTTTAAGTCACCAGCAATAGGTGACTTAAATTCAGGGGAAATGAATAATATTTATACCAAATAACAAAACTGAATTATGACAGAGGACAACACAATTTTTGTTGCGTATCCCACTAACTTCTCACTTTTCCTAAACAAGTTAAAAGAAAAATTTTCTCCACTATCACTCACTCGGTACAGAACTCTAATGAACAATCAAAATCAAAATGGCTGTTCACCAAACCTGATCTGGGTTGCCACAGGCTTCATTGCTCTAATCCGACATCACCCCACCGAACATTGTATCTTGCTGCAAGATAATGAGCGCCAACAGGACCCCTGCTCCCATGTGGATAATACTCGGGAATTATCTTCTTTTCTTCAAGCTCTTTCAATAAAGGTGTAAACAATGACCAAGCCGCATCCAGTTCATCACTTCGGATAAACAACCGTCTTTCCCCTTCAATAGCATCCAGCAAAAGCCTCTCGTAAGCATCCGGAATCTCTTTTGAGTATCTACAAAGAACATGCCAAACATTTTTGACATAATTAATATGACCATCCATTTAAAGGAGGAATGACAAAGATCATTAACCAAATGAGAGTAGCTCAATCAATAATAATCTAAGACATGCTGACTTTTGTCAAATGACAACAGACAATCCAAAGTAATGGACTTTCATCACCATTGTTGAACACCTTAGTCTATTATCCCCTTATTTGTTTAAACAGACAAAACCTAGGGGTGGGGATAAAGAACTAAAACTTTTACCTGGCCGCATAGTGAAGATTCAGATTACTACGGTCCAATCTCATTCCAAGACCAGGAACCTTGTTATTGATCTTCAAATATATAGCTTCGTCAGGTTGTACTCGTATAACAAGCTCATTTGTAGCTCGATCAAGGTCTGTTCCGATATTTCGGTTGTATAAATTGCCAGGAACATGCCTAAACTGTACCCTTATCTCAGCCCTGGCAAAGTAATGAGCAGAAAATTCAATATCGAATTATCGAAGGGAAAAAATGAAGCATGAAACTAAATTCTAAACCTAGAAAAATGATAGAAGATAGGGTATCTTCCTTGAGAAACAGACCTCTTAGTATGTAATGCTTTTCCAGCCTTCATAAGAAAAGGAACTCCATCCCATCTTGCATTGTTTATGAAGAGGGCTGCTGCCGCGAAAGTTGGAGTTAAGCTGCCCTTCGGTACAGTCTTGTCATCTGTATAGGCTGGGTAAGTGATACCTCCTTTTGTGTGGCTTTTATATTGCCCTATAACAACATCTTCAAGTTGCAAAGGCCTCATCGAACGTAAAACTTTAACCTGGCACCAAGCAGCTTTATTGTTCAGAAAGCGAGAAGAAGATTACAAATGAATCATAATGTCACAACCTTAGAATAGCCAGCTTTTAGGATATACAGAAAAATAAAATTAAAATAAAAAACCTTCTCATTTCTGATATCTTCTGCATCCAAACTGACAGGTGTTTCCATTGCAAAGAGGGCCAGTATCTGAAGCAAGTGGTTCTGCATTATGTCTCTTATTATTCCATAATTGTCGAAATACCTGGATAAAACGAAGAATGAAACTAAGCCATAAACTCTCAGAAAAGATCAAAGAACACAAGTTATCACTAGTTGGAAAATAAGTACCCTCCGCGACCCTCAGTGCCAAAATCTTCAGAGAATATTAATTGCACGTTCCTTATATACTGCCTTGACCACAGAGGTTCAAAAATAAGGTTAGAAAAACGGAGAACAGATAGATTTTCCACTAGCTCTTTTCCCAAATAGTGGTCAATCCTGAATATTTGATCCTCTTCTAGGTACTGCTTAAGGGACTTTGTCAAAGCGGCAGAGGATTCTGAATCTCGACCAAAGGGTTTCTCGACAATGACCCTGGTCCAGCCATTACCAGACGAAGCTGATAAGCTTGCACATTTTACAGCATCTATGAATATGTTTGGAGGAATCGATAGGTAGAAGAGGCGATTAGATACCCTACCAGCCTACAAGAGTACATAAATAAAGAGGTTACTTACTGAACATGATGATTAGTTTTGAGAATAGCTAACATGCTCCTCTAAATTTAATATCGTCATGTAATTCCAAGAATAAATTACCTCATGTTCCTTTAATTTCTTGTCCAGCTCTGTAAAGTTTTTCTCTGAATCATACTGACCAGAATGATAAAAACATCTCTTAAGAAATTCTTCCATCTTTTCGCCACAATTTTCCCTGATACCCAAGAATCAATGTGTCATATCCCAATTAACTTAAATAGTACAGGAGCAACAATGGAACATGAAATTCATTATGAGAACTCAGACTTTAAACAATACAGAACACCAATATAACAAACATTCTCCAAAGAAATAACAGAGAAAAAAAAAATGACTAAAGACTAGAGAGAAAAAGAGCTGACTTTCACCTTTTATCAATTCTGCACGTAAGGGTCTTACTAACCATGTTTCTAAGTTCTGCATCAGTCATCTTACTTCGCGCATAACCATACACAGTAAAGTGCTGCAATATTATACAATCTCATTCAAATCATGTCATGATTTTGGCAAGACATGTGTCCTCAAACTCAAATGACAAACTATAATAAACAAAACAAAACCTTGGGGAGGCAATCCTCATAATAAAGTGCAAAAAGTGCTGGAAATATCTTCTTCTTGGCAAGGTCCCCAGAGGCCCCAACAACTGTAATGCTAACCGATGATTCATTTTCATTGTCATCAAACCCAGCTGCAACTTTCAATTCCTCCGAAGAAGAAACTGAAGTCAGCCCTTCTTTCAACTTGTTGAGAGGAGTTTTATTCTCAACCGGAGTGACCGTTGTAGCCACCGCACCTACACCCAATAAGATGGACTATCCATATAAGATTTCAAAAACTAACCATCTAATTTACTAGCTGAACCAAACAGCCTATGTACAAATGAAACACAGTATTAAAGCCAATTTGTACTAATTTTTCAAGCAAAATGCAAAAAGCCCAATACTTTTTATTGGTTGTTACCAATGAAAAATTGGTCTTTGATATGCAAATTAATCAAAACATGCTATAAATCCTCGATTTCCATTTTATTCCTACACTTTTTTTACATCTAATATATTTTGGGATTTTTTATCTTAGAAAAAGATGAAACAAATTAGAAGGATAAAAAAACCGACCATCCTGCATTCGAACAACATTGTGATGAGAACCCGTTTGAGATTGCAGAGAAATCTTGGCTGGAAGAAAACGTTTCGAAACGGCAATGCGTTGAAGCTGGCCAACCATAGATGAAGATGACAAAGACGATGACGATGGCAACGATGCATAAGCACGGCAAGACTGAGCTGAATACAGGGTCGCCATTTCTGCACTCTCTCGCTGCTTAATCCGTTTTTGGAGAAAAAGGGTCGATGAGAAGAGAAAGAGAGAGAGAGAGAGAGAGAGAGAGAGAGAGAGAGAGATTTCTGAAAAGGGTTTGTTCAGTTAAGAGTCTTAGAGAGCTTCTCCTTTAAAAATGGTTAATGAGTGTAGAGAAAAGAAAGGGGACTTGGGAAACATCGAAGGGGTGTTACAAGTTAGAATTAGCCTTTGAGATCTCCGAAAAGATGTTTTCTCAATTTTCTTAAACCAACTATGGCTCCTCAGGGGGTTAGGCTTAGGCACGAAATGTAATTGTAAGCCAAGTGCACTTTTGATTCCTTTTCTCATTGGTTCCTTTCCTTATTTTAATATTTTGACTTGCATTGTTCGATGATGATTGATGACAAAACCAGTGGAGGCCGGACTCATATTTGGGTTAGACTTGGGCTTAACAATTAACAATTATTCTGGGGCCCAAAAATAACTTATTTGGCCCATTTTGACACTTCGTTTCTATAGATGTGAAGTAAGTTTATTTATTTATTTATTTTGACAAATTTAGGGAAACTAGAGTGGGTGTCCTAATTTAAAGGTCATTTATATTAATTTTTAAATTTTGGGAACCTATTTACTAAACTAGTTGTCATATTTAAGATGAAGATGTTTTTGTGGTATTTGGTTCCATAGAATGAAATGGAACAGAAATAGAATAGGAATAAGAATAATTGGAATTAGAAATAAATGTAAGTAGGGGTAAGCAGATTTCCACTTAATCGCACAAACTGCCCAAACCAAACCACACCGCACGGTATGGTATGGTTATTTTGTTTCGTGGTATGGTTTAGGGTCCAGTTTTTCTTTACCGCCGCGGTGTGGTGTGGAATACGGAATAAGATTTCTATTTTCGCAATAAACCACATCGCATCGTATATACATGTACAACCAATTAAATATATATATATATATACATAAATTCACATATATAATATACTAAAATCTAAAATCTAAATTTTCTTGGAATAAGTTGTGAATGAAACTTAGAGAGTTTTGGAGAAAGTCAAACAAATGAGGACTTACTAATAATTTAAGTTTTAACTTTGTTGTTTGTTGCTCGGAAGCATGTTTAAATTTTTGAACTTTTGACATTTGTACTTTACTATATTTTGATTAGGTTGTAATATTGTCTTATTAAGATGTTGCTTAGACAAGTATGAATATGTATAACTCTTAAATATTTTAGATTTGTGTTAATTTTTAAATGATTTTGTTTTAATAGTAATAATTTTTTTAAGATTATTTTTTTAATTTGGCCCAATTTTGTTGAGGCCCATATCAAAAGTCCAAACCGCATAAATCTCACCACACCAAACTGCATAATGTGGTGTGGTTTGGTGCAGTTAATAGTTTTTTTTTAACTGCAGTGGTTAAAATTTTCTTCTGCCGCACTTTGTGGGTTGGTTAAGAATTTGGATATTCTACCACCCAACCCACACCGCGCTCACCCTTAAATGTAAGGACCAATTGAATCGAATTCTTATGTTTTTTTTAACATTGGAATTCATGTCTGAGTCATAATTACTGCATTTGGTTGGTAGTTGAAATAAAATACACTAATTTCTATTTCAACAAAAATACCCCCAACTTAAAAAAATGATTTGCAACTAAACTGCTCTTAAAAGAGAGATTATTTATAGGTTAGAATATAACCAAAAAAGAATTATTTTCCAAGGAACCAATCAATATATATTTATATGTATTTACTTTCAATTTTGGACGTGGATTCAAACTACATTCATTCTTATATAAACTACGCACTTCAAATATGTTTTATTTTTTTTATACGTTATGCATATATAAACATAAAATTCATATAAATATACATATATATATATATGTATATGCTTGTGTTGAAAGGTTTATTAAGTAAGAATATATGTACTAGGAGGGATAATTCTGATAAAAAATAATTTTATTAATTTCATCTTTAATTAATTGACTTTCTTTTAAAGAAAAATTCAAAAGACTTGAGGTTATCGTATAACTTAAAATTTTTTATAAAATAAGAGTAGTCATTTATAGGTAAAAATAGTTTTGATGAATCGAGATTTACACAAGGATGTAAAATTATCATATTGTTTTTTTTTTTTTTTCCGTTCATAATGCTTGTTTAGAATATTGTTTCTGACTTTTTTTTGCTGAATCTATTCTCATGATCTTAGTTTTAGGAATTGTATTTAAGAAGGGATGTGATTTTATGCCAGATTTTTTTTTTAATTATTTAGAGAGATGTGTGTAAAGAGATTTTTTTTAACTATGTAGTTAAAAGTGATTCCAATAAAAGTTATTTTAGGAATAAAAAAAACTCTTAAAAGAATAAGAATTATACATACACTTCAACTTCGCATAAATACACTCCATTGATCAATAAAATGAATAACAAATATGAGAAAGAGAAAAGAAGAATGTACTCCATCTTCATCTCTCATTCTTTTTCAATTTTAAAGGAGCATTCCAATTCAAAAATCCCCTCCATTTTTTGTCTTATTATTTTTTAAAAATTTCTTTTTATGCATAATTCATTCTCCGTAGTTCTAATTTTTTTGATAATCTCTTTAATCTTAAATTAAAGCAGATTGGAGTGAAATTTCTTTGCTTTGTACCTAATTTTTGTTCAACGATTCAATCTTTTTATCCTAATTTATTTTATTTCATAAATTTGAAGAGAAAAAAGTTAGTTTTAGAGGATGTTTGAGGTGTTTTTAACATGAATTTTGATTTCTTGCATTAACTTATTTAGGAGTGCCTTAATAATTGTACGAGGTACAAATATAGCTCCCCCTTAAAATAAAGAGTAGGAAGAGTAGACACATGCAGCAATAGACTTGCCTATATTACATATTTACGAAATTTAAACAGACACAAAAAATCTAGTAATTACAATCCACCTTACAGTAATTTACTGATCTAGAAGACGAGATTTCAACTTAAATGCAAATTCATTCAAAGCAATTAGAGTATGATACGACATTAATTATACTCAACAACATATATATGCATCGTTGATCATTTAAGTTGTCCCGCCAACAACATATATATGATCAATTGAAGAAAAAAGCAGCTCACAATAAGAAAGAATATTTTAGCGAAATCATAATTGAACTAATTATTTAAGATAGTAATGTCCCAAACAGAAGTTCAATAGTCTAAGCAAGAAGGAATATAATATTATAAATTTGCAATTTGTGTTTGTAAATTAGTAGTTGGAGCATGAACATGATGCATATTCCATTTAGGCTTGTGTTTGGCATGAGCAAAAAGATGAATATGAAACATAGTAATCCGGATTCTCAAAATTTTCAGTACTATTTTTATTGTTTTATTTATTTTTTATTTTTTCTTTTTTTCGAATTTCATCCCTCAAAATTTTGCCCAACCTGGTTCGGCGGTGGGTTAAAGCTGGCCCTGTTCGAATCCAATATTTGAATAATGCTCCATTTCTCTATACCTATACAAGACATTTATGCATTCGGGGAACAGGGGAACGTGCTTTACGTCACCCAAATAAAAAATGTATCGTTACAACTATACAAATAGGACACATATATAAAATGACAAAAATAAATATTATTATATAATTATGCAAATTTATAGAAAGACCTTATTAATATATTTTTTTTATAATTATCCATATTTTGTACATACTAAACATGTTAATATATTTTTTTTAAAAAATTAATATGAAAATAAACTCAATTAAATTAGTTACTCAATTAAATTTATTTTATTTTTTTAATTTACTTTATTTTTATCTGAATTTAAAATTTCAATAAAGAATCACTTCAAAATAATTAATATGAAGAGTACTTTAGTTAATTATGATTTAAATATATGAATACTTTTTAAAAAAAATGATATGAAAATAAACTCAAGCTAAATGTTTGGCATTTTTGTTTATTTTAGCCGTTATGATTTATTCATTAAAAGATAGTGCAGATTCTTGCATAATCTAACTTTGTCAAAAATTATTGAATAATTTGATTTTTAA